CAAATTTATTACTTTAGTCAATAATGCCTTTGTTGACTGTGCCAAGAAGTGACAATTACTTCTTCACATAAAAGCCTAAAATTATGCTCTTTTATTATAGAATAATTTATGCAAACTAGTGGTTGTGGTTGGTTAAGGTTGATTTTCTAATTTCACAGTGGCATTATTCAATTTGGTTTTTGGTGCTACCTATTTCACATTTAGTTTGTGAGTCTCTATCAAAACATGCTGTTTTTCTTTTCCCATTTCTCCCATCTACCATGGTGTGCCAGGTATGAAGATCCCGTCCTTCCTCCCTTCTCCCAGCTATCTCTGAGCCTGATGTTGCTCCCCATGAATCATTCTTCCCTTCCCTTCTCAGACTTTTATGAGTTACTTCCCACAGGTCTCTGAGAAAGTGTAAGTGAAGAAGAGAAATAGCAGAAGAGTCAGTCTCTTTACCCTGAAGTAATTAGCAACTGTCTTAGCCCTTTCCTTTCACTCCTCCCTGTTGCCCTGACATACCTATTATCACTTTTAATTATTTTGCAAGTTTAGAAAAACAGTCTGTAGTAGGTTAGCTTGAGGGGGAGTCTGCATTGGGAGAGTAGTGATGTCACTTGACCTGGACATCTAGTCAAGAGGGAGGATTTTCTCTTGGCTAGTGAAAGGGGAGACGGAAAAGATAAAAGCCGGTAATGATAGTAGGCTGCATGAAGAAGAAGAAGGGGGCTTCTGTCATGGCAATTCATCTACCATTTGGTTGTCAACAGTGGCTTATTGAAACATCTGTTCTAAGTTTGTAATGAAAGAGAAAAATCTCTCACAATATACTTGGAATTTTCTATTAAAACATTTCATCCACTCCCACCCTCCCCTCGGGGGTTCAGGGGATCTCTCTTGCCAAGTTTAGAAACTCAACTGAACCTCTCTTCCTAATCTGCTGACCAGACAAGTGCTTTTCAAGATGGAGTTTATGCATCCTTGATAAAGGTGATTTCCTGTTTGTAGGGGCATTAACAAGCCCCAGAAGGCTGCTTAAATTGTGCATACCTCTTTCAAAACCAATGTTATGATGAGTTAAGTGCAAACAAGTTAGACACATATGGATTAAATTTCCCTTAAAATTCACATGAGTTTAAAAATTAAGAGTTCAGGTGAGGGGCAATGCTTGGCAAAATATGTTCCAATTTTGCAAACCAAACGTAGTCAATAAATACTTGAAAGCTTAAAAAAATTCATAATACAACCAGATTTACCCAACCTTATATGTGTTGCTCATTAAGCAACTTTGATGTATTCATTTGACATCCATTCCATTAGGTGCAAGGCTTAAAGACATGTCTAATCAGCTACTTAATTGGCATGAAACAGCTACTTATATTTGCAGTTTCCAATTCTTTCTTTCCAGAGGAGCTAATTTCACTGATAAAACTGGCTCCAAGGTCAATTTTCAGTAGGCAATGGCTAGGCCAGGTGATGTTCCTTAAATCTCTTTTTATGAAGCTTTATTTTCTGCCATTTTAAATTGCTCCCTTTGCCCAAAGCAAAAATTACTTTGATTTGTGTCTTTCACAGGAATAAAAGTTGTTTGTTGGGTGAAAGCAGGAGAGAAGTATTATATTTAGTTATGTAACTAACACAGATGGATTTGTTTGTTTTTAATATGCAAGTATGGAGAAGCAGGATAGGGAAATAGATAGAGATCTAACCTGGATGTTGGGAAGATTGGGAAGATTAGGTAATTCAAGTCTTGCCTTTGGCTCATAATAGCTGTATGACCCTTGGCAAGTATTATGATTTTTCAGTGTCACAGGCAACTCTCTAAGACTAAGTTGCAGAGAAAGTACCAACCTGCATTGGCAGAGGGAGATCCCACACCAAGCATTCTCTACACCCATTTATTACAGCTATCCAGACAGAGGTCACTTTCTATATGAACCACAGACATTATCCGTAAGGAAAAATTTTCAGTTTAAGTTTTTCAACAAACATACTTATCCTGGAAGGACCAATGACTGAAATTTGCTTTCAGTTTGAATCCTATTAGTGCCAGATATCTCAACCACAAGATTAGCTGGTTCATAACAACTTTGTAAAAAAGGCAGAAGTATTCCATTTGTGCTTAACCCTGCCCATGAGAGGTGTCTGCTACACTATTGCATGTGTGGGCAGGTGGGCAGGACCATGTGATCAGAGTCCCAACAAATGGACAGCAAAAGAATGGGGAAATAATCGAATTCAACAAACACACATGAAATACTTCCTACATATTTAAAGAATTTTGGATTTGGTGGCAGAAAACCTAGGTATATGTGTCTCAGTTCCATGGCTTACTACCTAGGTAAACTTTGACAAATTACATCAACTCCCTCTGTTTCAGTTCCTCAAACTTAAAAAATGGGTCGTGAGAAAAATGATTCGTAAACTCTAGCGCTCTCAGTATGTGGGGACCATGATGATGTACATTCCCAATTCAGCATTCCTGGGAATGCTATATCTCATTGGTGTGGGTTCTCCTTTTAATGGTGGTCAAAATCTTTCATCCCTTTAACTGTGATTTCTGTCCAGGTCTTTCTGTCAATCTTTATTGGGCCCTTGCCTACTTGAGGACATTCTCAATTTTTGGGGGGGAGGGTTGGCTTTGAGTCACTAAATTTTTGATTCTTCAGAATTCATAAGTCTTTTGTTATAGATAAAGCCATAAAGTAGCACTAGGAAAATACTAATGCTAAAAAGCAGGGCCGTTGTGTCAGAGAGCAGGTTGGAATCACTGAAACCACTGCACAACTTCCAAAATGCAATCCAGTCTTATCTTCTGTTCCTATTAATTCCTAGTATCATACATAAATATAGAATAACTTAGTAAGTGGACTAACAAGCCAACTGAAGGTTACAATCTAGGCAATATGCATTTTCATCCACTTTGTTTTTCCTTTTGGATGGCTATACTCAATCTCTTTCCAAAGACCATTGATTTCATTAAAAAAGTACTGGGGTGTTATAAAGATTGAGCAAGCCAGCACAAAATTATACACAAACAGGAATATCTGGAGAGTTCCATTATTGATGTGTAGGGACCCTCCTCTTTGTATTCTGTGCAGGATATTCTCTACTACATTGAGAATCACCCAAAGTGAACAATCTTTAGGTTTGCTACCTCATTTGTTAGTACTCAGTAACTCATTGTTGGACTAAATTATCTTGGTGATCACATCTGCCATCAAATATCGCATAATTTTAATACACAAGCACATGAGGCACTATATCTATATGTTGTTCTTCCCAGTCAATACTACTTTTAAATCAACAGAAAGTAGACATAGTATTATATTATATTTGCTATATTCTCAGCCAGTTGTTTAACTTTTAACTTCTGGTCTGCTATAGAAAATTTCCTCTTAATGCCAGCTTACTCCTTTCACACATTTTCATCAAGGATACCATCAGTGTATGTCTAGACCATGCTCACAAAGATTCATAGAGCAGAGACAGTAGCAGAAATTGTACAGAAATGTTGCTATTCTCTTGGCATCTTTTCTTAATATCTTGAAATTTGATCCCTGAGTACCTTTAAAATAGGATTATTTTGAAAATCGGCTTCTTTTGAACATACTTGGCTAATCTACATCCTCTTACCCCTTTGTCTTCTTACATCTGAGTTTCACTTCATGCAGTGTCTCCTTGCAGAACTGAGACAATGAGAATGGGTTATAACAGAACCATCCACATATTGGCTCCATTTAATCTTTACACCTTGATGTTCTCCCAGGTGGGTTTCTCCATATTTTCTGTATCCATATATTGGGGAAGCCGATCTCTTGTTTAAACAGGTCAAGAAGCCAGCTAGGTATTCACACTGTCCTCAGGAATAGTATACCCTTCTCCTCTTTGTCACTTTCTCATTTATAGTCAATACTGCCTGCTTTGGGGAATGAGAATGGAGAGGCCACACTCACACCTCATTTTTAAGCCTAATTACTTCATTTTAAACCAAAACCATACTTTTGTTATAATTCTTACTTTGAAAAGCCTCAACTTTTCTTCCTCCTCTCTTTCTTTAAGCCATAAGCCAGGGATTGTGTATGAATTTGATTTGTCAGAGAAAGCCAAATAAGACGTTGTTGCTTTTCAACAGGACAGCTCACAGTAAAAGTTCTGTTTGACCATTCAGGGTCAGTTCGGTCTAATGGTCAAGGTGCTGGCGAAGGAGCTGATAGATGCATGTGCTAATTTAACTTGCATGATACAGCTGCAAGGTAGCCTTTTATTGGTGATGAATTTCATCACTCAAGACAGCATTCTTCGGAATTTAGCACGAGCCCATCTGATGTCAGACACCTTAAAAAATAAAATTCCCACTAATGAGCTTTGGCTTCTAAGTCAGACACACTCCTATAATCCCAATATTTTAATTCCACCATTTAGTCTAAAGGTATATTAAATATGAATTTTTATCAAATGGAATGCCTTCCCTTTATTCTCTGGATGGTGACTTTCCCCCACCTAAAAGCAGATCTATTTATTACCAGTGATCACCATGATACATAGATGAACATGTTGGTTTTCTTTTGACAAGTACTCTGAGGCTACAATCAAAATTATAGCTCTGCCCAGTTAATTCAATAAGCATTTATTAAGCACCTACAATGTACCAAGTATACTCTGCTAGGTGCTAGGGATTCAAAACAGAAAAATGTGCCTACCCTCAAAAGGCTTACCTGACTTAGAAGACTTGAGGGCAGATCAATGTAGTGAAAAACATACTGGCTTTGGAGTCAGATGACCTGGGCTCTGTCACCACCTCTGAGACTTGGGCAAGTATCTCGGTCACCATGGGCAAGCCACTTAAGTTTCTTCTACTATAAAATAAGATTAAACTAGATAGAACTGAAGTCTTCTCCAGAAGCAAATCTAGGGTCCTCTTTGTTTTTTGTTTTTTTGGGTTTTTTTTATGTGAACCTATGGGCCTGGGGCCCCTCCTCTAAATTTGACTCCTTCTATTCCCTTTTGTTTTACAGGAGCATCCCTCACTGGGGCAACTTGCAGAAAAATTAATAGACAACAATATTAATGTTATTTTTGCAGTCCAAGGAAAACAGTTTCATTGGTACAAGGTAGGCTAATTCTGCAATGTTTTTGCTTTTGAAGTTTTATTCATGTGCCCAAAGGACTGATGAGTGGTATTTCTGAAATGAAGAAATTCTTTGGAAGCACAAATGAGAAACTGTGTGTAGTTGGTTCCACTTTGGACTGTCCTCAAGTACTTCACCATATTTCTTCCAAAAAGAGCATACCAAGACAGACTGGGGTGGGAGGATGTCTCCACATGCTCCTCTTCTAGATTATCATCCAGAACTTCAACATAACAGCCATGGAATCACAGTTTTAGAGCTGGAAGTGGAGTTAGAAGTCCTCTATTCCTACACCCTCCTCTTCCAGATGAGGAAACAGAGCCCCAGAGAAGTTACATGGCTTGCCCAAGGTCCCAGACGTATTAAGTGGCAGAACCAGGATTTCAGCCCAGCTCTTCAGATTCCACATCCTGCACTCTGGACATTGCACTATTCTGCCTTTCAAGTGAATGAGGGACAGATTCCAAAGGGAGTTCATTACTGAAAATTTTGTGAGCCAGATGACCATTGGTTTCAGGCTTCACTTTGAAGTTTTCTGCCCAGTCCCTGTCACTGTTGGTCTAGATCATGCACTCTGAGTCTACACTAGGCGGGAAGTTAACTCTCAGGATATAGACTAGACCTAGATGGTGCAACATCTGACTAGGTCAGTTATGGTCTACCTCAGTAGTTGAAGTTCATTTTCAGGAACACAGGGTTTAGGGAGGATCCTGAACCAAGCCAAAAATCCACCAGGGTCAAGCCCGAAATTGATTCTCCTTCCCCAAGATTCTTTGCCCAAAAGATGACCTAAAATCAACTGGGACACCCTGAGGAAACTAGGGACTAGTGTGGGTAGCCCAGAGAGAACACAGATTGAAGTGTGTTTCAGAGATTTGAGTGAGAGTGGTATAGTGAAAACAGCCTTAGATTTGAAGTCATACGAACTGAGTTCAGAACCTGGCTATCTTATTACTAAGGCTAACTCACGCAGTCTTTCCATGCCACTAATCTTCATTTCTAAAATCAAAAAGCTGGCTTAGAGGATCTCTGAGGTACTTTTCTCCCAGTTCTCAGTGCCCTCTTCCATCTTTTTACCTGGAACTCCCTCGAGGACAAAGTATTTGTCTTTAATGGAGCTGTGCAAATAGTGAAAAGTCAAGTGACGCAGAATGAGCTATCCAGAGTGTCTTTGGGAAGAAGGCATCAGGGTACAAAGTATGATCCAGAAACACCCCAAAATCTGCCTTCTTCCCTCAGCACCTTCCTGAAGCTGCCACTACAGCTCCAGGTCAACAATATACCTATCCTCCATGACCTCTACAGTTTCTGATGCCATTTCCGTACACACTCTAAAAATTTCCACCTTCCATGATATTTTACTCCTTAGATCCTAGGGCCAGGAGGTTTCTAGACCTGTAGAAATTATTGGGATAGAGCCACTGGGTCAGGTGGTCAAAAAGTACTCCCTCCCTCACCAATCACTATACTTACTAGACATGTCAAAATGTATTACACTTTATCTCTCTGGAGAACTAGAGGCCATCTAGTCCAAACCCTTCATTTTACAGTTGAGAAGAGTGAGGCCCAGAGAAAATGCTGCCAATAAACAGACCTCAAAGTTGTGGCAAGGGCAGAGTCCAGTTTTGGTGTATGGCAACACTTTTTGCTTTCTAACCTGGGAATGGATAAGTTGACCTAGGAGAAGGTGGCCACATCTCTGCAGATCTGATGCTTTCATCTCTCTGCATAGAAGGGTAATGAATCTCCCACCTAGGAACCCTTCAGCCCACCATTTCAACCAGCATTTCCCTAAAAGTTATTATTGCCTTCCCTACCCTGCCTTCCTCCTTTCTGATGGGAGAAAAATCATCATAGAACCAGACAAAGCTGGAAGAGACCTTAACAGCCATCAAGTCTACTCACTCATTTTTTAGATGAAGTGCCCTTACTTACTTGCCCAGGGTCAGACAGCAGTCAATGAGGCAGTTTTTGAACTCAGGTCTTCCAGCATTCTATCCACTGTACCATCTGGCTGTTGCTAAACGTTAGGTCCCTGCTTCTATGACGTTCCAGTCAGTCATCTTACTGCAGCCTATCTCTCTGTTATAGTAACGCCTCCTGGGTTGTGCATAGTGACTTGTACATAGTACACACTTGGGAAATGCTTTTTCATTCCTCCCTTCGTTCTTTCACACACATCCCTGACAAGTAATCAGGGTAGGAATATGGTGTCCAGGGAGGAAATCAAGAGGCACCACCAATTACTCCAACAAAATAACAGACCAGGGCCAGAACAAAAAAAGGTGGTCCCACTAATCTAATCATGTTCATGAATCATTTGTTTGTCTTATTTTCCCAATTCAACTCTGAGTTCCTGGTACAACACTCTGGGGTCCCCAGATCTCCACCTATCCCAGCATCAGTCACGCAGGAAATGCTCAGTATCCCATCACAGATTGTCTTCGTATAGCTATGTGTGTGCCCGTGTCGTTACAGGATCTCCTGCCCCTCTTGCCTGGAACCGTGGCTGGCCAAATTGAATCAAAAGCAGCAAACCTCAACAACTTGGTGGTGGATGCCTATCAGGTATGTTGGCTAGGCACAAGTCTCCCTTTTTGTTAATTTGTTTATTTGAGGGTTTTCAGCCCAGAGTTTCCTATGGCAAAGTAGAAGCTAGAAGGCAGGATGAATGGATGGGTAACCCAGCAACAGCTGACGACTTCCCCATGGTTAATGAGAAACTTTGCAAAACTACAGATTATAAAAACTCCAGGAAGGATTCCATCATCTATCTCATTGGGGGTGGCAGGATGGAAGCAAAGAAGAAGGGCATGTGGCATTCTGCCCACTGAGCTGGGCACTGCCCTGAGCCCAAGGGGTGGTCAGACAGAGGATTTTTTAAACCAACTAAGTTAAACAGTGTGGACTTTTCCTTTAAACTGAATTGGAAAGTTATTGGACTGAATCAATCAGGCACCTTAGTCAAGATGTTGAAACCAGTGGCCTCCTAAAATAGTAATTCAGTAATCAAAAAGCATTTATTGAGCACCTAGTGTGTACCAGGCATTTTGCTAAGCACTGGGGGATAAAAAATAAACACAAAACAATTCCTGACATCAAGTGGTTTATATTAAATGAGGGGTAAACAACATAGATGTAGAAAAGTGACCCACACTCATGTGTGTGTGTGTTAGTATATTTATATAGAGACAGAAAGAGAATAAATATAAAACAATATTGTGCAAAATGGTGGAGGTACAAGTACCAACGAGGAAACTTTTCCTATATCCGGTAAGTCTTGAAGGAACCAAGGCAGTCTGAAAGGTGTAAGTGAGGAGGGAGAGAATTTGCAGCATGGAGAGTGGGGAGCTTATGTAAAATCACCAAGGTAGGAAAAAGAAAGTAGATGCATATGGCCAAGAGGTACAAGACATGATGGAGGACAGAAGCAAAGAATATCAAGACATCATTGCTCTCAACTTTGATGATTCTCAGGTCTGCAAATGCACTAGGAGTAGTCTTATATTCATTCCATAAATGTAACAAAGCTGTACGATGCACTCTACTGGACACTGCCTACCATGTTAACCTTGACCCATAACCCACTGATGCTCTCCTCTGCAATACCTCCCAAGCACTTCTCCATCCTTGGCTTTAAGACCTGTGGGGAGGAGAAGCTTCCTTCCTCCTTAGGCAGAAAATTTCCTGTTTAAAGAACTGCAGATGGGAGGCAAGTTGTTCTATCAAGCCTAAAATTGCCTCTTCACAGCCTCTGTCTGCCAATGCTCCTAATTCTATCCTTGCTGGGATATCTCTATGCATCACCCATATGTCTCTATTTTGCAAATCTCCTGAAAATTCAATTTGGTTCGTACTGCTCCATAGTTCCTCCCAGCACACAGTAGGTACTTTAACAGGTATTTGATGCATTGAACCAATTTTTAAAATGAAAACATTTACGGTCATTGGCAAGTCATATTCTAGAGTATGCTTTGTCCCTGAGGAAGCTCTTATCCTTGGATGCTAACTTAAGAGTGCTTGAACATCCACGAGGAGGAATGAGGCAGCGCTTCTGTCCTCTACCCTAATCAGACAACATCTGGTGTATCATACTCTGTTTGGGGCATGGGAGCGGGCAGAGTTTAAGAGTATTTTGAATGAACTGTGGAGTAGCCAGAGAAGGCATAACCAACATAGTGAAGGACCTTGAGTTCATTTCATAGGTTTAAGGACATGAAAATGTTAAGTGGGAAAGATCTGTGATCAAGTGTGTGATGAGCTGTCTTATGGAAGAAGGATTAGTCTTGTTCTGCTTGACTCGGGGGGGGCAGAAGTAGGAGTAATGGGAGGGGCAGCTACAAAGAGGCAGATTGAATGTATGTCAAAGTGAAGTAGGCTGCCAGTGGGGAATAGAAGAGGTCTTCAGACAAAGCCTAGATGATCATTGATTGCGGATGTCATACTATGGATTCTCGCTCAGGTACTGGTTGACTTGGCAGCCTCAGACGTCTTTTCCTAATCTGAGATTCAGTGACTACGGGATAACATTCCCCACTCTGAATTGGGCAGCATTGCATTTTCAGTGTGAAAAGGAAGTCAGATGCAGTGTCAGAGTTAACTTCGGTATTCTAGGACTGGGAGACATTCCACTCCAGCCTCTCAAGTTCTTTGGGCTCTCAAGCCCCGATTCTTCTGAGAAGCCAGTCATGAGCAAGACAGGCCCAGAAATCTGATTGAATGAAGGCATTTCCTCTCAGTGTGCCTGATCAGCCATAATTCAGCAATCTGTTGGGTATACCAGTAGCCTTTATTCGTCCATCTAAACTGTTGATTTATACATTTAAACAGAAATGAGTTCTCTGAGTTTCAAAAGCAGCAAATATAGGCCCCAACTCAAAGACTCTTCTCATGGAAACATTGGGAAAGGGAGAGGAGTTTGTTTTGCTCTTAAATTTACTCCCAGAATCCAATTAGGATCGACAACGTTTATTAAGCAATCATCTGCCCATGGGAGCCTACTCTTTGGAGCTGCTCCTTCATAGATGTGTCACTATAGGCAACTTGCCTACCTTTTTGGTCCTTGGTTTCCCCAGCTGAAAAATGATGAAGTCAGATGGGATATTCCCCACTGTTCTCATAATTCTTGCAGGCTCATAGATTTACAGCTGGAAGGGACCTTAGAGGTTATTAAATCCAATTGTTTCATTTGACAGATGAGTAAACTGAGGCAGAGAGGTTAAGTAACCCAAGCAGGGTCACATAGCTAGTGACCTGAGGGTCATCCCAACTGCAAGGCATGGGATTTATTCATTGCTTGTGACACTCCTAAGAAAGACCAAAAGCTTTGACCATTCACCATTGAGTAATCTTTGAAGTTTCTTGCCCCTCCTATCTCTCTTTCTGACTATACTGCATTTCCCCTCTGTTTTCTTTTCCTCGGTTCCTGTGTTTAGAACTTCTGGATCAAGCTATTCTCTAGTATTACAGGCCCAGAATGTTATTGACTTGTGCTCTACAAAGGTCCTTACAATCCATTGGCACTGATGTCTGTGGTGTAAGAGAAAGGGCCCTTATTCTAGAAGTTTGTTTCTGACCCTGTCAGAGGCCTTGCCATGGTGGCAGGCTTAGACAAACATGGCAGTCAATGGTAGGCGCCAGAGGTTTTCCCAAATCCCTGGCAGTCTCCAGACCCTTACTTCAGTTATGAAAAAAAAAAGGTGGGGGCAAGCTCAGGCATCTCCTCCTCGAAGGAGAACAAGTAGAAATAGTCCCAGCAAGGAAAGTTTCTTGTCAAATCTCTGTCAGTCAAGTCCATGAGCTTTTCTAAAGGCCTCAAGTCTGTGAAAGTGAAATGTTTTCTTTTGCAGCTGCGGGCTCCAGACTTCCAGCTGTCAAGCCTCTCTACCCTCGATGATGATAGATGGGTTCCCCACTGTTTTATTGGAGCTATACTATGAAAGGAGAACATTAACATTAAGAAACAATGCCCATCTGGGGAACACCCAGACTTACCACAACATTGTAAACTATTATAAAGGAAACAAATTTGTGAAAAGAGACTGCAACCAAAATGTGGGTGTCCAAATCCTTTTCTTTGGAGTTGCTAGTTCTCCCTTATACGTGTGAGGCATAATTGGGTCCCTGTGATGAAAACAATGCCTTTATTCATTCCTTTGTTGTAGACAATCACTCTTTCTTTGATCCTGCTAGAGCCATGATGTCAAGCATGCTTTGAATATGCTCGACTCTGATTCATCACTTCTTGTTGGGACTCTCAGTGCCCTGTAATTGAAGGTGTTGTCCTTTGCAGAAACTGATATCCGAAGTGAGAGTTCAGGTGGAGAATCAGATACCAGGAGTCCATTTTACCATCTCAGCCATGTGTCCTGATGGGAGCAGACATACAGGGATGGAAGGATGCAGAAATGTGACCAGCAGCGATGAAGTATGTAGACATGGGGACCCTCCCCTCTCAGCCCCTTCAGAGAATTCAGCTAGGGAATGTCAAAGTTAGAAGGGACCTTAGAAGTGGCCTTCTCAAACGGTTTGTACTCATTGTACCATGGAGGAAACTGAGGCCAAAAGAAATGCTCACGTCCTCCCCATGAGCAGCACAATGCTAGTACATCCTAAGTGCTCGAAAAATGCTGGTTGACTTGATTTCCTCATGGTCATAATGCTAGCCAGCAATGGAATTAGGACTTCAATCCAGATCTTTTGGCACATGGGCCAGGGCACTTTCTACTACAGGATTCTGTCTCAGGCCAAGCTAATCTTGTTCCCCAATAACTCAATTATTTGGCACCTTTTCTCAGAAAGTAAATTAGGTGGCAAACTCTACTGAAATTTGGCGAATTTGTAAGGCATGCTGTTTTTGAAGGAATGCTTATGTTTGGGTTTTATTAAAAGGATTTCTTGAACTCCTAAAGTGCTTGTCTTTGTCTCGTGAAAGCGCTTTCCAATATGGACATGTTCTCCAAATTTAAAAATCTCGGTGCCAACCTCTTGGGACAAGAGCCTTTCCAAGCATTCAGTATCATTCAGATAATTTAATGCCTTAATGTCTTTTGATCAGTAGTGTTATGGAGAGAGCACTGGATTTGGAGTCAGAGGAAACCTGGGTTCCAATCTCAGCTCTATTGCTCATGACTTTTATGATCTTGAGGAAGTCACTTTCCTTCTTCAAACTTCAGTTTTGTCATCCATAAAATTAAAGAGTTGGCTTTGATTTAACAAGCATTTCATTGAACACAAAAATAGGGTGCTCAAATAGCTTATATTCTCTTGGATTGGCTTAGGTTATTTACATGGTTCCTTCCAGCTCCAAATTCTGTTTGTAATTTACCAATTTCATTATTTTGTCTCTTTGCTAGTAGAAATTTTGCTAGTTTCTACTCCAAACATTCTAGGAGACAAGGACAAATCGCTTGGGATATAGGTAGGAGCAAAAATGGGTGAAGAATTAGAAGAAGATAGATTTAGGAAAACATGTGGGTCCTCAAACCACTTTACTGATAGCACTGGATCCAACCTACCTACACAGATTCCTGGAGCCATAATTAAAAGAAAAAAGGAAAGAAAGAATTAAAACAAGATTCATATGGAATGGTGTCATGCAAATGAAGGGACAACTTTGGGGTGGGAGGCAAAATCTGGCTTCTACTGCTCTCTCTGCCCCCTCTGCCCCTGGGTGACCTTGGCTAGGTTACTGAAAATCTCTGGGCCTCAGTTTCCCCATCAATAAAATTAGAAGTGATACTTGTTGATTTGTAAAGCGTTTTTTTCCAGCTCTAAAAACGATTTATAATAATATAATTTTTGAAATGAAAGAGTAAAAAAGAAGAGCAAAGAAAACAAAGACAAGAACCCATCAAATAGATTCTTTAGAAGTCCACACCTGTCCTGCCCACGCAGTTACATTTCAAATTTCAAACATGATCACATGCAATGGGAATAGGATGCAAAATTTCCAAAGAAGTACTTGAGTATGTGATGTTATTTGGTACTTTAAGAACATAAGGAAAATCTTCTAACTTGTGAAATGGTGGTCCTGATTTCTGGGAACATATTCACAAAATTCTGTAAATTTCTGTTAAAATTGGACTATTGTTGCCTTTCTTTCCAGAGAGTGCATCTAGACATTAGAATGAAACTTGGACTTCATTTTTTTTAATTTCCCTAAGAATTAGCTAGGAAGTTTAGAATCTTTGGGTGCCAGAGACCATCTCAAGCTCCATCAAATTATATTTAAAAAAAACCAAATTATTGCAGTTTTATGATTCTTATTTGTTCTTCTTTGATCACCCCTATATTGATTTTTTCCTGTAATTTTCTAACAATTGTAGTATCTGGGAAATTCTACCTCTACTCTCAGCTCTCCCCCCATCAAACTTGCGTGACCCTGGGTAAGTCCTTTTCTTTCCTTGGGCCTCAGCTGTCTCCTTTGTAAGATGAAAAAAGGAGGCTGTTTTATGTTCATCTCCTAGTTCCCATTCAGCTGTAACAGAACATAATTCTAAGTTTCTTGAACATTGTCTTAGGTTTTTATGAAGGAAAAAGAGCAACTGAGATCTGCAGTGGAGAGTTCTTGAAATGCCCTTGCTCAGGAAGGGTTAACCTCTTAGGAGCAAGCCTTCCTTTCAATAGTCCAGGCTTGGCAGGCTCCTCTTCCTTAGTTCTAACATTCTTCCTCTTCTTTGTCTAATTCTTTTTCTCTTTCTCCTTCAACCGAGTAGTACAAACAGCATTACTCTCGGGAAAACTCATATGACCTTTTCATTACATAAACTCCTTAGTTAGGTTTTGCTATTAATGTTGGCAGCACCTTATGCTACAAACCTTCTTATGCCCCCACACATCTGTTAATCCTTAGGATTCATGTGCATGAAAAAATACAACTTTTTAAATGCAGCATCAAACTGTGCTGATTTTTAAAACAATCCCAAACAATAGCCTACATCAACCTAACCCATTTTAAATGGAAGAGGCTTAGTTTGGTTATCTTTGATTAAACATAATGCCTACGGACTAACAAGAAAGGTTACAGAAAATTGTGTGTCTTAGTTGTAATGGAGGACAGACAAGCAGAGAGGATTTTTCCCTTTCCAGAACTGTTCAAGCCTCTGAAGGCTTTAGGGTAGTCCAACAGTGGAGCCCATGTAGGTAGCCAAGAGGAGGAGATTAGCAAGAAAAAGCCACAGGGCCATGACAGGGTTCCTGGTTCATGCCAGCCCCAAATGCTTCCCTCCGGGCCTAGCAATGCCCACCAAGGAGATGAAGCCATTCAGAGTGGTTGCCTCCCTCCCCTGCACTACCTGGGGTCCTCTGAGGTGAAAAAAAGAGAACTTCTGAGCTCCCAGAGCAGCTCACTCCCATTCTAAAGGAGAAACAAAGCTTCATACGCCACAAGGAGGACCAGAGAATCTGCTTCTTTTTGTTCCTCATTGAAGAGAAAGTAGAGGTTTCTCCCTGAGCTGGCACAGAGCAGGAAGAGAAAGTGGAGGGTTTTCGCCTTCCGCTCAGGCCTCTGGGAAAAAAGAAAAGAATGAATGTCTGTTAGAGCAAATTGCTCAGCCAACTGGGAAAGCCACAGGGGAGCAGCCCTCCACCTTAGCCGGTGGAAGCAATCCACTGTGCCAAATAGTCCATGACCCTGCATTTTACCTAGGCGAGAGCCGAATACTGAGCAGAGAAAGCCCTGGGCTTAGAGCCAGGGGGTCTTGGTTCAAATCCCAGCTTGGATGTATACCAACTCTGCACCCACAGACAAGTCACTTAATGTCTTCAGAGTTCAGAGAACTCAGAGCTAGGAAAGAACCTTAGAGGTCACCCAGTCCACCCACTTTGTGTTACAGATGCATAACAGGAGGCCCAGGGAGGTGAAGTCACTTCCCCAAAGTCATAAAGATGAATTCCCGGAGCTGAAATTCCAACCCAAGGCCTATGATAACAGGCATCTGCAGCCCATTGTGTCCCACCACCTCACCCCATCTATTAATGGTGCTGGGACAGCTCCTTCGGAGGACTGCTAGGAGAAATCTCATCAAGTACCACAGAAACAAAAGATGGTATGAGTGCCATTGTCTTTTTTATTGGTAGCTCATTTTCATCTTTGTAAATGGAGTTCGGACAGAAGTGTTCAGAACAAGTTACCATTTTCCGATTATTTCCTTCTGTTCACTGTTTTATGGATTAGTATGTTGGTGGTTATAATAATGACATTTTGGAATTGCCTAAAGCCTTATCAGTAAGCATTTATTAAATACCTACTGTGTGCCAGGCACTGTGCTAAGCCCTGAGAATACAAAGAATGTCAAAAACACAGTCCCTACCTTCAAGTAGCTCCCATTATAATTGGGGAGGCCATCTGCAAACATCTATCTGCATACAAGACCTACACAGGATAAACGGGAGGAAATCTCCAAGGGAAGTCACAGGCATTAAGGGGCAGGAAAGGCTTCTTGAAAAAGGATTTGACTTCAGTCTGTCTCTAAGGTCATACTCTTTAAGCCTGCTGAAATCATCAGCAATGATTCTTATCAGTAAACATGTAATAAGTGCCAGGCACTGTGCTAAGATGCATGGAAAATGTCATTAATCACAAGCAGGAGGGCAAGTGCCCAAGGCCAGGGGCAGTTACATGGTGTGATCTGGGTTACTGATGGTCCCGGAACTCTCTTGCTGGATTTCACGAATCCAGCATCACAAAACGGCAGTCACTACCTGATTTCCAAATGAGAGGGCAGGGCACAAGAGTGTCTTCAGAATCTCTTGCTCCAGCGTAGTAACAGGTCATGGATAACAATAATAGGTACCAACCCTAAAGCTGGAAGGAAATGCAGAGGCCATCGGATCTACCCCCCCACACACACACACTCATTTTAGACAGGCATTAACTGAAGCTTAACTGAAGCCTAAAGTCACAACTGTAGTCATGACGGAGCCCATGTCTTCTGACTTGAGAGAGATGGCATTGGCTGGCTTGCCTCTGGTGCGGCCCAGTCATGTGACCAGGAGCAGTTCCCTCAACCGCTGACTGCCTCAGGAAATTCTCTAAAACCTTAAGTCATAAAGGAGGTCCTGCTCTAAATCAGTAGGAAGACTTTCTGCACTGAGAGTTCACCGTGTAACTGAAATTCAGTTCCAAACTGATGAAACATACAGTGGTTCTTCCTTCAGGGCTTCCAGTGTCTCACGATGTGGGCAGATATTGCTGATGTTGCAGATCTTGGTGCATCAAATGCCTTCTCATGCTACACAATTCCTGAAGCATAACTTCACAATAGCTTTCCTGAGTGGACCTAACCAAGCTGCTGGCCACCTTTCTCTAGGCATGATGTAAGGGAAAACTCCTTAATAATTAAAACTGTTCACAAGTAGAATAGGCTGCTTTGGGAGTTGGTGGAAACCCCATTCAGCCAAGACCTTCCAGATACTTTATTGGGTCTCTAGTAGAGAGGCTGTGCAGGATGAAATGGCCACTGATTCCTTTTCAACTAAAGGTTATTCACTACAGAGGAAAGAGCACCAGAGTTGGCATGACAGGATGTGGGTCCAGATCCGGACTCTGTTGCTTGCTACCTGTGGGACTTTGAGGAAAAATCACCAACTTCTGTGGTCCTCAGTTTCTTTATCTACAGAAGAAGAGGGCTAGAGTGGATGATGTCAAAAAGTCCATCAAGGTTGAATTTTATGGTCCTGTGAACTCTGGTATTGCTCATCGTTGACTGTTTTGTGCTGGCCATTAGAGCACTTAGACTGGATGTCTCTTCTCCCTCGATCTCAATACATGATTAAAGAATCAAAGGTTTAAAATTGGAAGGAGCTGATGATTCTCAGATCTAAGTATCTAGCCCTGACCCCCAGTCTTACATCTACAGCTGCTTACTGGACATTTGGAATTGAATGCCTTGTAGACATATTAAACTCATCATGTGCAAAATAAATCTCATTATCTTCTAACCTCTGACCCTCCCTTCTTCCTCACTTTCTTATTCCTGTCAAGGACTCTGCTATCTTTCTATTCACCCAAGTGTCATCCTTATCTCTGCACTCTAGGCGGCACTGGGCCTGGAGTCCAGAAGACTTGAAGTCAAGCCAAATTGTGTGACCCCCTGCAAATCACGTATCCTGTGTCTGCCTCAGTTTTCCTCAGTCCCTCGAAATGGGGATGAAAACAGCCCCTCCCTCCCAGGGCTATTGTGGGATCAAATGAGATAACATTTAACTTACACTTAACTTAGTGCTTTGCTCATGGTAGGAGTTTAATAAATGCCTTATTCCCTTCTCTTCTTCCATCATTCTCCCTCACCTCCAATATCATTTTTTTCCAAGTCCTGTTGATTTACATTCATGAGATCTCTCATGTATGCCCCTTCTTTCCTCTGCTACTGCCACTGCCCTGGTGCCATAATCATCCTGGACTATTTCAATGGTTTGCTGGCTGTCCTCCATGCCTCAAGCCTCTCCCACTCCAGTTCTTCCTCCACTCAGTTGTAAATTAATCTTCCTAAGGCACAGATCTGCCCAGGCCACTCCCCCTCCCCCCATTCAATAATGTCCAGTTGTTCCCCATCACCTCCAGGCTCAAATATAAATTCCTCTGGTTGGCTTTTAAAGCCCTTCACAGCCTACCCCTTGCCTCATTTAAGTCTTCTCATACCTCAAACCCTTCAAACACTCTTGGAGTCAGTGACACTGGCCTCCTTGCTTTTTCCTCCCAACAAGCCATTTCATCATTCCATTTCTAGATTGAAGGCATTTTCCCTAGTTGTCCCCCAGGCTTGGCATTTTCTCCCTCCTCATGTCCATCTCCTACCTTCCCTGGTTTCCTTCTTCAGATAAAATGTTCCATTCTACAGAATGCCTGTCTGGATCCCCTGGAATAACAGCTCCTTCCCTCTGTTCATTACTTCAAATGTATTCTGGATCTATTTTGTTTGTGCCAGTGAGCCAACAAGTATTTACTAAACATCTTCTATGAGCCAGGTACAGTAATAAGCACTCAGGATACAAAAAAAAAAAGAGGCAAAAAACAAAGTGTTTGCTCTCAAGGAATTTGCAGTCTAATGGAGACAACGTGAAAGCTATTATGTACAAAAACACTATATACATGATAAATTGGAAATAATCATCATAGGGAAAGCATGAACTTTAAGGAGGATTGGAAAAGGCTTTCTGTAGAAATTGGGATTTTCAACTTAGACTAGAATGGAACCAAGAAATCCAGGATCTGGAGATAGGGAGCAAGAACAAAGGTCTGGAATTTAGAGATGGAGGGTTTTGTGGTAGGAACAGCAAGAAGGCTTTTGTCATTGGATTGGTAAGTACATGGTAAGGTTGGGATGGTTTGAGATAGAAGAAGACTGTAAAGGTAGGAAGAGGCGTTTGACCTTGGAAGCTTTAGGGACCTCCTGGAGTTTATTGAGTAGGAGGATGACATGGTCATATCTGGGCTTTATGAATTAGATAGCTAAGTGGAAGATGGACTGGAGTGAAGAGAGATGAGGTTGGGAGACACCCCCCCCACCCCAGCAAGCCATTACAATAATCCAAGTGTGACACGATAAGGGCCTGCACTAGGGAGGGAGCAGTGATAAAGGAGAGAATGGGGCATATACTAGAGATAAAGTTAACATTGAAAGAACTCGGCAACAGATTAGATATGGGGAGAGAGTGAGGAGTCAAGGATGAGAGCTAGTTTGCAAACGTTATTGATGGAAGGATGGTGGTGCCCTTTACAGAGAAGTTTGGAAGAAGGGAGGGTTTGGGGGAAAAGATAATGAGTTCAGGTTTGCACATGTTGAGTTTAAGATGTCTATGGGACATACAGTTTTAGATGTCTCACAGGTAGTTGGAGATGGTTTCTTGCCCATTAGACTGTAAGCTCCTTGAAAGAATTCCTTGCCTTTGTTTGTATCCCCAGCCCTTAGCACAGTGTATGGAATATAGTAGGTGCATAATAAATGCTTGTTGACATTGGCTTAAATGTCAAGGTCAGCCCATCTACTTCCACCATCACTCTTGGCTGGAAGATAGAGATATATTTTTGGGAGGAGAGATGGCTGGAACCTGTAATGCCCACTGTGCTTTGTTTTTCACCAGGTTCTGTTCAATGTCACTGTGACCATGGATGTATGTGATGGAGCTGGTGGGAGAAGCTATGCCATCATCAAGCCTATTGGCTTCAATGAAAGCACTAAAGTGCACATCTATAGGAACTGTAGCTGCCAGTGTGATGATAGCAGAAGCCCCAAACGGAAATGTGCAGATGAAACTCTCTTAGGTCCTACTTGTCCCCAGTGTGATGGTGACAAGTGCCATTTTGATGGAGATCAATCCCATCTGGACAGTTGCAAGGCACAAAAGAACCAGCCCATTTGCAGTGGTCAAGGTGTCTGCATATGTGGGAAATGTTTCTGTCACAAAACTAAACTTGGAAAAGTATATGGAAAATACTGTGAAATGGATGACTTCTCCTGCCCATATCACCATGGAAACCTGTGTGCTGGTGAGCTCAAAACTTTGATTCCACTTTTACTATTCCATTTTGCACTGGTCTATGTGTTAACATTGCATGAAATTACCATGTGTAAATTTAGCATCATTGGATTTGGCCTGACTATCTAGGCTTAATATGGTAGACGTGTCTAAAAAATTGTTGGGTACCACAAGGCATATGCATTTATGTTTTCAAATCTTTTCCAAATGGCAACACTTATCTACTTCCTGGCTTTTTATAGGGAGAAGAAATAAGAGGGTCAATCCCAAGTAATTTTTGATATGTGTCTGCTGGTTGCCAGAATCAGATTCACTAACTTCACTCATTTGAGCACACATGAACATTTACTTTCCTTGAGAGCTCAGAGGATGTTCTTTCTGTAAGAATTGTTGGGAGCTACTCATAAGTCAACCCATTTCCCATCTTTGGAAAAAAAAATTAGGAAAAACTAAAACAAAACTTGTTCTGAGTCTCCAATAAGTAGCTGCTAAAGCATAGGGACTTGTAAAATGTAACAGGCAGTAGAGTACAGTGTCCAGGGCTTGGAGTCAAGAAGACTTTAGGTTCAAATCCCACCTTTGACACATAGTGACTGTGGAACCCTGGGAAATCATGAAATCTCTGTGCATGTCAAGTACTTTCTTAGAGCTTATCTACTAAATCATAGATAGGTTTAATTTGGTTTGGAGAAGAATCTCTCAATCTGGGAAGCTGATGAAATCACAGATATTTTACACACATACTATGAGGGAGCACATTATTCATTATTTACTTGTATGCCTGGCAAATAACTTCTCTGGGCCTGTTTCTGCAACTCTAAAATGGGGATAGTAATAGCATCTACCTCATGGGGTTGAGGAGAGGATTAAATGAGATAACATATATGAAGCACTTTGGGAGGTTTAAAGTGATTTGTAGGTTGTTATTATTATTATTAATATTTTTCATATTCACTTAATATAAAAACACATTTAAGTTTTGTATGCTGACAGTTAGAACATTAGTGTAATGATCAAAAACAAAGGTTGATAATTGTTCAGGAAAATGAGTCAAAGGGCAGTTAGGTTGCACAGTGGATAGAGGACCAGCCCTGGATTCAGGAGGACCTGAGTTCAAATCTGGCCTCAGACACATAACCCTTACTAGCTGTGTGACCCTGGGCAAGTCACTTAACCCCATTGCCTAACCCAAAAAAAAAAGAGTCAAGCACTTGATTTGAAATAATCCTCTATTTCTCCATTGTGTTCCATGTACATGGCATTTAAGAATTAGAATCAGCTTATAAATTATCTGATCATGTTTACTGCCATCTAGAGTTAAGAGAAAAGACCTGGGTGAAGCACAAAAGTTCATTGTGTGGCATTATAAGGCAATCTCTTGTCGTGATTAGCCAAATACATTTCAATTATCCATTTCCTCTGAAATCCATTTACCATGAAGACATCTGTTCATTTATTTCAGTAACATCTAGCAACTTTGTAGTAAGTGATAGCAACTTATATGAATTACTCACTATCTAAGTATTATCAACAATTTCATCAAATGAAGGCTTCCTTTTGACAGAGTAAATGGTGTGTCAAAAAACTATGATAGGTAGACTTTATTGCCCTGTCTAGGTTTAAAACTTTAGCAAATCCCGCTAAAGGACATAGTATGCTACAGTGGACCAGGAGCCAGCATAGCTGAATTTGAGTCTCGGTTTGGGGACTAACTAGAAGGGTGACTTTGAAGAAATACCTTTAATTCTCCAGGTCTCCATCCCTCATCTGTAAAATGAAGGTGTTGGACTATACGATTTCAGAGAGTTTCAAGTTGGAAGAAAATTCAACATCATCATCTAGTCCAACCCAAAGAGGAAAAAAGAGTTCCCTTAGCACCCCCAATAAGTGATCATCTGGCCTTTCCATCTCTTCCCATTCCAATAATCAGGGGGCTTTAAACATTTTTTGTGTCATGATCTCTTTGGCAGTCTGAGGAAGCCTTTGGATCAGTTCTTGGAATGCTATAAAATAAAATATATGAGGATTACAAAGGTAACTAACTGGATTGAAATAGTTATAAAATACTCAAAAGCAAATTCATGGACCATACTTTATGAATCTTTCAACTTATGTAGCTACTGATCAGAGAGAGTATTTCTTGGTCATTTTGTGTTAAAGATGTTTTATATCCAGAATATTTAACTTGCCATGCCTTATTTCAACAGTGAGAGTATGAATACTTTAGAAAAGGCAGAAGCATTAGCCACCCTTTACAAGAAATGGTCCTATTTTTGAGCTAGGTGTTTTTTTCTGTATCTAATTTTGGACCTCAAGGAGCATAGAAGTGTTACTGAAGATTACCCACATGACTCACAACACTGTTACAAATCCTCAGCATCTTTAAACCAACATTAGGACCCTAAAGAACCATTTGGGCTCCTTGGGTGAGCAGTATGGAGTATGCTTCAAATCAAGTAGAGCCAATTTTTTAAGAAAATTCATTTGAACATGGTGAGGAAGAGATCCTAAGACAGAGGAGTTATGATAGGGAGGGAAGAGGGGAACAGGGCTAGACTGGAGAGAAGATCACTTAAACACGTGGCCACTGGAGGAGCAAGGTTGCCATTTTGTAGTTTTCTTTTTTGACTATTTTCCTCTACCTGTGCCCATTCTGATGCCTCATCATGGCATGGAGATAACTCTGTCTTCACAAAGACTATTCAAATAAAACTGGAAGGCTTTACCAAGATGGCAAGGCTTCAAGTATAGTCCTGACAACAGACTGAATTTGTTTTCAGAGGACCAATCTAATGGAGGGTGGAGGGGCACATTGCTAGCAAGCTTGCCACCTGGTGATGGCTTATTTGGTCCTCAGTCCTCTGGAGCCCCCTTCTACCTCTCCAGTGATGGTTGCCAAGTTTTGAGAAAGGAGTAGAAGTTGTCTAAAAATCACATAGTGCTTAGATTGTTTATTCATTTTAATTTGACCATTAGTACTCTGTGAGATCCTTATCCAGTGACCAACAAAAAGACCTGAGGAGGAGCCATCATGTCAATCTTGACATTTCTATGAACAAAAGTAGAAATTGTAGCGAAAATGATGGATGACTCATAGGTACCCCTTGAAGAGGCAAAGTAAAGCATTGACTGAATAGGTTTTATCATATTCCCAAAGGCAACAAGAAGTATATTTCAGTATTAATGGTAAATATTTGTAGGAAGCCCACCATGAAAATAATTAGAGCTTATCTATCAACACCGTTTGCTGAAGATCAGGTGGTAGAGAAATTCTGCAAAAAAATTGCTAAGACCCTACAAATTAAAATCAACATATACTCTGATCCTCACCAATTTCAAATTTAAGGTAAGAAAAGGGGAGGATGAAGAGAAATATATAAGAAAGCAGATAGTTCAAGAAGACTGCTTACAAGTCTCTTGCCTTGCCTTTATATCACCAGTGTTCTCTTTAAGAAAACAACTAGTTGGCCCAGGACATAGTATGTACCCTCTAACACTATATATTAGACTATTAGTTTAATAAACAGGAAAAGATTTGTCATTGTTGTGCCCAGGGTCAGCGGTCTGCAACCAGAAAGACCATTGATTTGTCAGAACTAAGATGAGAATTAGTAAAAAGTAAGAAGAAAATGAGAAAAAGGTGTGACTTACATTTGAAAAACCTTAATCATGCACTATTTAAACTGACTGACAATAAAACATGGGAAACAGACAATAGAAGTGATATCCACAGTGATTACAAGAATTTTATCCAGAAGTTTAACCAACGTGAATTAATTGCCACAACAAAGGAATCAAAAGTGCCCTGAAATGCCTTACCTAGCAACATCTGATTTACTTGCCAATTGGAAAGGTGAGTACCAATGGCAACACCTGGTTAAGAAACAAACTTGTTTGTAAAATCTCCTGAAGAAGGATGGTGGACAATTGCTAATAAAGCAGAGAGCAGTGGAAGGTCAAGCCAGTTTTGTTTTGTTTTGTTTTGTTTTTAAGTTTGGTAAGATGTCCAACTAAAAAATGGAAGGAGTGCTATGAGCAAGAAAAATGGAAAATATTTGTAAGATTCGTGACAAGGAACTTTTTTGTCCATCAACAAGAGTAGACCCATCACACTTGAATCATTTACTTGGGGGGTGTGAAATGATATAATGCTAATGACATCAAGCCTCAGAAACCTGCAAAGCTTTTGGGAATAGATCTGTAATCACTCAAAGGAATTTGGCCTGATCATCCAAGCCTGAAAAAAGAAATCGATTGAATGAAGAATGACCATATGCAGATTACAACATGGATCTGAATGAACAACCCACAGAGCATGTCTGTTATCATGTATGTTTGTATGCAGATTGACAATATGTTGGGCCCAGGACTGAACAAGAGACATGCCAGCCAGATTGCCTTCAGCTAACTGCACAGGTTTTGTTGTGGTTTTTTTTTTTTAATGACCCCAGCTTCCCATGAAAGCAAACATCCATTTTTTTAATACCAGCATTCTTCTGGTATTACCATGTGGATAGAATACAAAATTCTTCAAATAATTAAAGATGACAATCTCTCCAGATGGGAATAGAGCAATACATGGTGAATGTGATGAGTAAGTTGGAACATACAACCAATGAGGTACGGTGAAAAATGAGTGTAAAGGATTAATAACATTCTTTATCAGAATTATTGGAAGAGAAATTGTCCTGCTCATCTAGTGTCACAGTGGATAGATCACCATGTAGGGAGTCAGGAAGACCTGAGTTCAAATTCTACCTCAGACACTTATAAGCTGTGTGACCCTGGGCAAGTCATTTAACCTCTGTTTAACTCAGTTTCCTCATCCGCAAATTGGAGATAATAACTGCACCTATCTCCCAGGGTTGTTGTGAGGATCAAATGATTGCATTTGTAAAGTGCTTTGCACAGTGCCTGGCACACAGTAGATGCCATATACATGTTAGCTATTATTATTATTGCTGTCATCATTGTCGTCATCATATGGCAAGAATGAAAGGTGAGAAGTGGACAGCTAGGGTGCCTCACTTGGCTGCCTCTGTAATCGTAACAGGAAGGCCACCAGTAAGCTGGGTGGACTTCATGTGGTGAACTTATAAGAAGACAAGGATAAGAGTTGCACAAGACCAGGAAGCAAGTGCAAGCCATTTTATTGGAAGGAAGCTCAAAATCAGTGAGATCACAGATTCCTTTGGGCATCTGAATATTCTTGCTAACTACTTGGCCATTTCAGTTGTTTCTATAGAGGAGTATAAATACTGTCAGCATCTTCTAAATTTGAACCCTAGGACACTGCTCCAGCGGCACCACTCTAGTTCCAGTCTGGACCACCAATATTTGCACTTCAGCCTTAAATATCAATGTCCTGTCTTCCAGGTACAAATGAAGCACAGCAGCTTGCCCCACTGTCAGGAGAGCATATGTTTAAAGTTCTTTTTAGAGTTGCTGGCCATCCTCTCTCCCAGACAGTATTTTTTTTGACTAATGCTTCACATTTACAAACAAGTATCCTAGATTAAGACTTTACTATCTGGAAATGACATAGATTCAAACAAAAGGGCATATATCAGGGTTGGGGGTGGGTGGGCATGAACATGGACCTATTGGCTTTTGGCTCTAACAAATGAACCTAGTCTAATAATAACCTATTATTCTCGAGTTAACTTTGCTTCCCAGCAGGCTTGACCAATAACCAGGGAACTTGAAGAACCTGTCCCCAGATGCCAGCAGAGTCTGACTAATGGGCCTATGTCCTCCTAGACTTTGGCAAACACCAGGCACAACACTATACACTACGGAGACTTTAACAGAATGTCCTGACTTTTCAGGTTATAACTCAGATAATTAACATGAGTTCAGCTTCTTGTTGGTAGAGTTGTGTTTTGCTTTTTTTTTTTTTTTGAAATTAGGGTGCAGTGCCAATCAAGTAGTCTAGGAGATTTCATTCTGAGCCTAGGTAAAGCCCAAATAACTCCAACAGGCCACAGAACGAAACAGTCTTAATGCCAGCCTAATGCAGAGTTGACTTCACGCTTGTCAACACAATACATTAAGTAGGATGAGATTATTCCTGGTTGAATGGCCTTGGAAACAGCCACTCACCAGGCCTAGCAAATATTGATGCTAGGCCAATAGGAAAGGAGGCTGGCTTCATTCATCTTCCTGTCATTGGGTTTCCATGGAGCAGACAAGGCAATAAGTGCTTTGGAACTATTCCCCAAAACCATGGAGCACCAAACTTATGTTCTAAAGTTGTTGTTGTTGTTGTTTTCCTTGCAGGGCATGGAGAATGTGAAGGAGGCCGATGCAAATGCTTCCGAGGCTGGGAAGGAGACCGTTGTCAGTGTCCATCTTCCTCTGCCCAACGCTGCATCAATTCCAAAGGCCAGGTGTGCAGTGGGAGAGGGGCCTGTGTGTGCGGGAAGTGCGAATGCACGGATCCCCGCATCGTTGGCCGTTTCTGTGAATACTGCCCCACCTGTGATACAGCCTGTGATGAAAACCAGTAAGTTCCAAAATCACCATCTGGTCCTCATACCCAACTTTACTCCTCTCTCTCTCATGCTTCGCACCATTTGAAATCATCCAAATGTCTATTTTATAGCATTTCTTTAACCACTAGTGCTTTAAAATATCAGGACAAAATAAGCTCCTTAAGAACAGATATTGTTGTATTTTTTGTCTTTGTATCTCTAGTACCTGGCATATAGCAGCCATTAATAGACGTTTGTTGAAGTGAATCTAATGGGAAGCTAAATCAACTGTGGTTCAGCAGAAATATGTATTAGAAGCTGTTCTGCCAATTAGAAGCATTTCTCCCAATCTAAAAATCATGATTACCCTCACTGACAGTTTCTTAGATGTGTTGTGAGAATAACAGAGTGACTATGTAGAATATATTAGAAATAAAACTAACCTCTAAGTACAAGTTGCTATTGTAATAGCTAGCATTTGTGTGTGTGTATATATATATATATTATATATATATATATATATATATATATATAAAAGCTAACACTTTTAGGTTTGCAAAGACCTTTAAAATAGTTTCTCATTTGATGACCACAACCATCCTGGAAGTAGGTGCTATTATTATCCCCATTTTACAGATGAGAAAACTGAGGCAGACAGAAATTAAGCTTCCCAGATTCATACTGTTAGCAAATGTCTGAAGTTGGATTTGAACTCAGGTCTTCCTGACTCCAGGTCCTGCACTCTACACACTGCTCTTAGTTCTAGAGCTGGATAAGACATCTAGTCCAGCTAGTTCAAAACACTTATTTTACAGATGAGGAAACTGAGGTGCAAAGAATTGAAATGACTTGCCCCAGGTCACATATGGAATAAACTTCAAAGGTGGGGTTTGAATGCAAGTCCTGAGACAGTGCGTGTTCTGCTGTGCCACACTGTTTGCCATTGCCAGAAGCTAGGGCCTAGTAGTGATGCTTTGGTACCAGCTCAAGGACAGGGCAGCAGAACAGAATCTCATAAATTGTACTCTTCATTTGAATAGACTTGTAGATTTAGAGCTGAAAAGGACCTGGGAAGATACCTAGTCAAACCCCTCCTCTTGCAGATGAGTATATTGAGGCATAAAGCCTAGCTAGCAAATAGCCCAGTTACAGGAGACTCCAAATCCTGCTGGTGCTGAATCCTGCAGCCCCGCTCTTCACAGTTTTGCTTCTCCACAACATGAGCATCAACTAGAACTGTGCCAAGGGAAGCTGTAGAGGACGAGAGAGCCTTGTAGACCCAGCTTAGGATTCTGGAGTTTTTCAGAAGCTCGTGATAAGGCCTGTTTTCAGGAAGCCTGACACCTACAGTGGCCCAGAACACAGCCTTCCTTGACTTGGACCTCAAGAGTTGTTACACTCAAAAAAGCAGCACCTTGCAACCTGTGTCGTAATAGACCTCCTTTGTGAGGATGCTGTGGGACAGCAAGCATATTGTCCATCCATGGGCCCGGCCCACCTAGTAGACCATGACTCCTTTCAAGAGGAAGCTATATGGTGCACTGGATAGTGTGCTTAACTTAGCATCAGGAAGACCTAGAGTTCAAATCTGAGCTGTGTGACTCTGGGCCAGTCCCTTAACCCCTGTTTGCCTCAGTTTCTTCATCTGTAAAATAGGAGTAATAATAGTATCTACCTTCCAGAGTTGTTGTAAGGATAAAATGAGAAAATATGTATAAAGAGCTGAGCACAGTGCCTGCCACATAGTAGGTATTTAATAAATACTTGTTTGAAAAAAATCAAGGAGTTCACTTGCTGACCACAATGAAGCATGACCCTTGTGGGAGATATCTTTAGAACACAGAAATAATGGTGAATAGCTTTAACAATATGTTTCTCTTTTTATAGCCATGCCCACCTGAAAGCCTACAGCCATGCCAACCTTAAACATGACCCATCTTCTCTGGTCTCACAAACTAAGCAGGACCTGGGAAGTAATTGGGCAGATCCCCTGAAGAACTCTGGACGCCTGTAGGCTTTCCCTCTGGGAAGAGCTCTGAAGAGCTCTGAACTTGGAGTCAAAGGGCCTCAACTGAAATCCCAGCACCAGCCTCATTTACTGCCTCAGTGACTTTCCCTCTTTCCCTTTTCTAAGCCTGTTTCCTTTTCTGGAAAATGAGGGACTTGGACTCTGAGGTCCCTTCCATCTCTAGACCTCTAAGACCATGGTCCTCCTTTATCAGAGGTAGGGCTTGGATCACATGGCCTTGAGGATCCCTTCTACCTAGGAATCTGGTATAGATTTATGGCTACCCCTGGTTTCAGAACTCTTTTATTTCAACTTCTCCTATAAAAATCTGACCAGCACATCCTTCTGAGAGGTTTGTGTCATTCAAACTAAGTTGCAAATTCAGTTCAATACATCAGGCATTCATTAAGCACTTACTAAGCTCCACACATGGTGATAGGTACTGAGAATGTGGAAGAAAGGAAGGAAGAAAGAAAAAAAGGAAGGAAGGAAGGAAGGAAGGAAGGAAGGAAGGAAGGAAGGAAGGAAGGAAGGAAAGAAAAATAAAGGAAGAAAAAGAAAGAAAGAGAGAGAGAAAGAAAGAAAAAGAAAGAAAGAAAGAAAGAAAGAAAGAAAGAAAGAAAGAAAGAGAGAAAGGAAGAAAGGAAGGAAGAAAAGAAAGGAAGAAAGGAAGGAAGAAAAGAAGGAAGGAAAGAAAGAAAAGGAAAGAAAGAAAAAAAGGAAAGAAAGGAAAAGAACCTGACCTCAGAGAGCTTACATTCTAATGGAAATATGTGAACTCCATACAGAAGAGTCAGGACACAATAATGAAAGGAGGCAGGAAATACCGATCACTCAAAGGTTTCTTAGAGAACTCAGAAACTGAGCTGGTCCTTAAAGAAAGGTAAAATAGTAAGATTAAATAAGTGTTAGTACATATTTCCAGTGTTTCAGGTGGGGATAGGGTCCATTTTGTGACAGTTTTTTCTTCTTGATGAGTAATCATCTGGCAATGTATGGCCCACACAAAAATTCTTTTGTCTTCATCGCATCATGAATGTCAGGTCTTTTTTTTGTTTGTTTGTTTTGGTAAGGCAATTGGGGTTAAGTGACTTGCCCAAGGTCACACATCTAGTGTCAAGTGTGTGGTCTGAGGCCAGGTTTGAACTCAGGCCCTCCTGACTTCGGGGTCTGTGTTCTATCTACTATGCCACTCAGCTGCCCCAAAAGTCAGGTCTTTTAGATCAATTAGTTGTGATGGAGCCTTGATCATACACATTTTCCTGATTACAAATAAACTTTCTTTTGCTCTGTTCCAGGCATTGGGGAGCCTCTTGATAACCTCATCTCTTAAGACAAACCCAGCAGTGGGATTTTTCCTAAATGTGTAAACATTGCTACTTTGGTTCTCACTTTGCAGGAGCTGTGTCCAATGCTACCATCCTCACAATTTATCTCAAGCTATACTTCATCAGTGCAGAGCTTCGTGTCCTCCAAGGGCCTATTATATTGACCAAACAGAAGGTAAATGACTGTCTTATTTCATCCTAATTGGTTCACGGAGCTGAAGAGGCCCTTCTGTGGCTCCTGGTGTCCCAGAAAAGGCCACACTTCTGAGACGTATTTATCAACATGCCTTTATTCGTCGTTGTGCTAAATGCAGGGAGTGCCAAGGAAAGGCACAAAGGAAGACCATCCCAAGTGGTGCCTTATTTTTAATGTCTTCCAGAGATTCAGGCTTGGCATTGCCAAAGATTTGACTGGGCCAGAGTGGAACGTTTTGGTTTCCATCCCAATTTCTCATATGGATTGCCATGTTGCATGATGAGACAACAAGCATTTATCGTGTGCCCATTATACGCAGTGCTGTGTGCTTGCCTCCCCTGATGGAACACTAGCTTCTGGGGGGCAAGCACTTCCTTCCTGTCTTGGTGGCCCTAGTGCTGACGTGTCATAGACACTTACTAAGTACTTCTTAATTGATTAGTCCAATTCACCTGTGATGTGGCCAAAGCGAGTGTGTGAGACGTCTGTGAGGCCACATCAAATAGTGGGAAGGTATCTCTAGAACTGGAAATCCCCTCCGAGGGCATCCAGGCCCCCCCTTTTATGTACAAAGAAATAGAATAGCAGAGAAGGGAGGTCACTTGTCTACTGCCTTACAGGTAGTAAGTAGCATGGCCAGGTCTTTCCATTGCACCATCATCCTTAAATATTCCTTCTGGCTGTGAATTAACTGTAGTTAATGAACTACTAGGCCCATCCACAAAAGAATGTGCAAATACGTGCAGGAAAATAGAAGGACTCTGCTCAGAGCTGACTCATTTTACAATGTACTCACTCACTAAGGCAAGAAAATCAGTGTCTTCCCACCTCCAGTTATAAAGATAGGCACACACGCACACGTGCACATATGTGCGCGTGCACACGCACGCACATATACAGACACACATGCACATACACGTGCACACACATACAGACATAGAGTAGATGTAGTACTGGCCTAGGAGTTGGTAGGACCTGAGTTTAATTGCTGTTTCTAAAACTTAATACCCTGCTGACCACGGATAAGTCACTCCCCGGACACATTTCCTCCTTTGTAAAATGAGGGTGAAAAATGAACATAAAAATAACTGATATATAATATATATGGGTTTCTAAGACTCTTTATTTACATCCTTTTTGACCCTCACAAAAAACTCTGTGAGTTAAACATTATCATTAATTCCATTTTATAGATAGGGAAACTAAGGTAGAGAGAGGTTAAGTGATTTGCCCAGGGTTAACTAGTAAGTATCTGAGGCAGGCTTTGGATGTAGGCCTTCAGAGCTACAAGATCAGAACTTTACCCACTACATCAGACTGTCTGTGTTACAGGGCTGCATTAGGTTCACATGAGGTCATTTATAAAGGGTTTTGCCTGCCTCGGAGCACTAAGTAAACATCATCCGTGGTGTTAGGGCACCACTGTCTTTCTGCTCTGCCCATCCTTGAAGGGCCTCCATATAAGCATATCCCCTTCCCCCAAGGCTTTCTTTGCTCCTGAGCTTCTCCCAATGTGCAGTTGGCTCCAGGACGAGCTCCATCTGCCTCCAGCTGGACCTGCCATTCTTCAGAATGCAGGGATCAGGGCTCATGGTCATTACCACGTCATCTATTATGCTGAATAAGCAAACATAGGCCTGGCTCGTGTAGCCATAGAAAGGTTCTTCTTGACAAGGCTCCGGCACAAGCCGTTGCTTGACCCTGCACCCCTCCCCAAGAGAGAAGCCAAAGCCATGTGTATAGTCTTCCTAACAACTTCAGAAAGGACCCCTGTTCAACCCACAGCAATGCCTCCTACCCCTACCTCAGCCCTGCTCCCTCGTAGTTACCAGGGGGCCCACAAAGACAGAGCGCTCACTCCAAGACTGGACTACAATCTCCCCCCCGAGTCAGCTCTAATTCAAGTGGACTTCCTTGTCCTGTGGTCACATTCTAGGCAGGACTCCAGTCCAGGAGCAGGGAGCAAACATATCACCTTGAAGGTTGATAAAGGGGCTGGTTGCCAAGCAGGACAACTTCTATTAGCCAATTAATCCACATCCATTTAACAGCTATTACAGGCTAGGCACTGTGAGTTCAAGAGGAAAAAAATTGAAGTCGTTGCCTTCAAGGAGGTTACAGTGGATTGGTAAACACAACATGTAATTGGTCAGTCAGTAAGCATTTATTAAGTGACTACTGTGTGCCACACATGATGCCCAAGGAGCATATTTACATACATACAGCAGAGAAACACAATTCAATTTCAATTTGATTCAATGAGAATTTTTAAGCACCTCCTGTATGGAGAAAGCTGTGCTCTGGGAGTCAGAAAGACCTGATTGAAATTGCATCTCTGACATTCTTTAACTGTAGTACTATGGGCAGTCACTCATTCTCTCTAATCCCCAGTTTTCTTGTTTGTGTAAGAACTACCACACCTAATTCACAGAGCTGTTGGGAGTATCAAATGAGCTCATCTGCATGAAGTGCTTCGCAAACCTGAAATCTCACTTATTAGATGTCTGGTATTATGGCAAGGTAATATATCCCAAGGACATATGGCCAGAGAAAGCTCAGAGACTTAAGCTAATTGTCACTTAGGATGTGATCAAGCCCCACTGGCTGAAATATGCAAGCTCACGTGCTCATGGCAACCTTAAAACACAAATCATCTGAATGTTATGATGCTATGTGTCCTCTCCAGAGGTTAGCCTTTTTCCTCATATAGGCACACGCATCCTTATTAGCCATCAGCCTTTAAACTCTTTAAAGGGATCTGCATAACTTCATCTCTAGGCAAAGGCACTGGGCTGCAGCCAATCAGGGTCCAGTGATGAGGCAAGCCTTTCCTTACTCCTGATTTGTTTCTTTTTTGATATTTTTATTTATTTGTTAAGTATTTTTCAATTAGATGTAAAAAAATTGACTTTTTTTAAAAATTTTGATCTCCAAATTCTCTCCCTCTTACTTGCCCTTCCCCTCTCCTTAAGAAGGCAAGCAATTTAATATTGATTATACATGTGAAGTCACGCAAAACCTATTTCCATATTTTCCATGTTGCAAAAGAAAACACAAATCCCCCCCAAAAAAAACATAAGGAAAGTAAAGCTCAAAAACAAAGTTTGTTTCAATGTGTATTCAGAATTCATCAGTTATTTCTCTGAGGGTAGAGAGCATTTTTCATCATAGGTCCTCCTTTGGAATTGTCTTGGATCATTGTATTGATCAGAGCAGCTGAGCCTTTAATGGTTGATCATCCTAATTAATCCCAACTAATTGGGATTACTATTGCTGTTGCTGCGTTCTGATTTCCTTCAAAGAATTCAGGGAAACTCTGCATAATTCAGGATCCTAAACTATCCATGTTCAGTTTGACCACACCTTGTGTTGAGGCTGGTACCATCCCATGAGTCTCTCTTGGGCTAGTCACAGAATCACAGAACCATTGGAAGAGATCTCAGGAGCCAATGAGTCTCATTCCTACACGAAAAGATTCCCCCTCTGTCATATACACAGCAGAGTGGTCTAGTCTTTGCTTGAAGATCATTTGATAAGTCAGCATCAACCCAGGATCCCCAGAAACTCAAGAATTCACCTGGAGAATGGGTAGGAGGACAAGCAGTTAACTTAGACTGCACTGGGCAATTCCATGCCACCTCTGGGTTCCCAGGGTATTATGAAATCATCTTCTCAGATGATCTGGGTGCTGTCTCTGGCTCTGAAGCCCCACTACACCTGCCAAAGAAGATATGCTAAAGATTTGGTCCCAAATAGGAGGCCCAGCATGCCTAGCTTCTTGACACAGCACTCTCCTTTCCATTTAGTATTCATTTGCTCTTGAAAGAATATATTGTGAACGTTTAAAAAAACAACAAGAATTCACTTCTTGCCAAAGAGAAAGTGAAAGACAAATAACAAGGATAGCTGGGTTTGGCAGGCAGGGCCTGCCCAGAGCCTCCCAGTTACTGGAGAAGCCAATGCTAATGAAGAGCGACACAGAGATTTCAAGGGAGATGTTTAGAGAAATCTCTTCCAATAGTGCTGATTTGGCTTCTTCAGATGTGAACTTTATTTCATATGACTGGAACAGAACAAACGCGGAGAATATATAGCAAGAGAAAGAGCTCAGTATTGTTGGTCCCCAGAGTCATCAAAATTTGACTGAAGTAATTTTGCACTCACCAGAACATCAAGGACCATCACGAATGCTGTCATTTGGGCATAATTAAATTCAATTTTAGTTGAAAGCCTCAGGCATTTGCAGCTGATTCTTTAAAAGAGAAATGATCTCCATGATTGTGGACAGCCTTGCATAACAGATGATTTTTATTAAAACGGCCATGGATCTATGACCTCATCCATGTGGGAGCTCCTTCCAATGAGGCAAATAACAATGCATTTATGCCTTCCCATCTGTGGGCCCTTGTCCCTCTCTTCCTTCCTGTAAATCCTGCCCAGGGGAGCCCTGTCAACATGGCGGCGACCGTTACGTGGATAGCAGTGGTATTGCATGGTCTGTCCTTCAGCGATCAATTGCTCTCACTATGTTATTGGCCCATCTTTTCTTCTGAGTTTAGGATGACAGTCTAGATCTTAAGGACAGCTAGGCCAAGGTCTCAGATGTAGAGATGAAAGGGGTGTTAGAAGACATCTATTCTCATCCTCTTGTTTTTTAAATAAGGAAATTAAGGCTCAGAAAGCTTAAGGGAAACTTGTTTGTGATCATACAGCTATTAAGTACCAGAGGCAGCATTTGAACCCAAGACTTCTTGACTCAAAGTCCAACATTTAATCTACTATTGCTGTTGCTATTGTCATTGTTCAGTTGTTTCAGTAATGTCTGATTCTTCATGACCCCATTTGAGATTTTCTTGACAAAGAGACTGGAGTAGTTTGCCATTTCCTTCTCCAGTTCATTTTATAGATGAGGAAACTGAGGCAAACAGGGTAAAGTGATTTGCCCAGGTTCACACAGCTAGTAAGTGTCTGATGCCAGATTTGAACTCAGATCTTCTTGATTGCAGGCGCACTGCTCTATCCCTTGCACCACATAGCTACCCTGATCTCTTATGCTATGCTGCCTCTAAGGCAATGTATATATTGAATAAACAGCAGGCCTTGAAGTCACGGAGATGGATGTTCAAGTCCTTCCTCTGACACATACTAGCTGTGTTTCCTAGGCAACTCTTCAAGATTGTAAGTTAAATATGAGCTTCCTGCACCACTGATGTCAAACACCAGTGGAAACAGGGTCCCCAAAGCCACATACAAGGATCTCCGAGGACCACATTCTAACTGGGCTTGAAAATGTCATGTTGTCTACATTTTATTGTATTTTTATTTATTTTGTTAGCTATTTCCAAATTACATTTAATCTAGTTCAGGCTCTACTCAGTCATGTTTCAGGCCCCACGGGTCCCATGTTTGAGACCTCTGCCCTACAGCAATGAAATCACAGTTCCAGATGAAAGATATTACTTAATTATAGAGTATCTATAACTCGAGGAAATCAGAGACATAGTCTCTACAAGTAGATCATTTCCCTTCTGTATCATGAGTACGTATTACTCCTGCTTGGTCATCTGTGGGTTTTGAGACAGCTGTCTCCCTCTTGTTCTATTATGGCCTGAGTATTCCCCAATACTTAGGCTTATACAGTGCCTGAAACATAGTAGGTGCTTCACAAATGATGGCTTGTCTGAATTGAGCCTGCATGTGTGTATGGATGAGGTGGGGGTGAGGGGAGGTAAACTTGCATTATAAACATTGAAGTCTGAAAGCAAAAAAAAAATTGACCTTGTAGCACTTCTTGACCTCCTGGTAGTCCTCAAGTTTCATGCCTTCCTGTCTGTTTACCCCTTACAGAATGTTTCTCTAACCCAAGCCATTTCCGAATATTTTTCATCATCTCCATCATTACATTCCTTATTGGATTATTGAAGGTTCTCATCATCAGACAGGTCATCCTCCAAAGGACCAGAAATAAAGTGAAATCTGCCAGCTACAGAGTGTCCACATCAAAGAAGGTAATTGCTTTTGGAAAAGGCCTTGGAGTGGCGGGATAGGGGGATGTACGTTGAGTTTCTGTACCGAATATCCTGGTCTTGCACTGACATCCCTATGGCTTCTTCTTCAAGGATAAGATGTTTCTGCCAGCCGTCTGCACGCACACTGTCACGTACCGCCGTGACAAACCTGAAGAGATAAACATTGACATCAGTAAATTACACCCTCATGAAACTTTTAAGTGCAACTTCTAAAGGAATGGGGCCTTCCTTAGAAACCTTCTCCATGACCATCTCCTAAAAAAGAAGTCTTCACATTGAAAAGTGGCAGGAGGTGCCCAAATATTCTTTGGTCACACCATTGGTGGTTGAAAGTTCTGCTAGAGACTGACGTGCTTCCATATTGTGACATAGCCTTTGGATGTGATAGCTGCTGATTTTGTGAAAGAGAAATGTGGCTTACTACTGTTTGAGACTAGTGTTGTCCTAGCACTTTAATGTAATATATAACTTATTTAGTTACAGCATAGAATGTAGATCTGAACAGCACTGATCTCACTTTACAGGTAGCTAACCTCCATCCCTTTTCCCTGCTGGAAAGGACAATTCTGTGAGATGACTCTGGCATCACTGTATACTACAAGGGTACAGTCCTTTCTTGGGTTATATTCATTCATCACCAAATTTCCAAATGAAAAGTGGTTTTTATTTTAATTCAATTAACCAGGTGTTTACACTTTTTTTTATACATATTTGAACTTCAAGTGGAATGTAAACTCCTTAAGGGCTAGCACTACTTTGTATTTTTTCTCTGTCTCCCCAATGCCTTGTCCATAGCCTGGCACTTGGTGTGAATGCTTAATGAGTTAAACTGAATTGAATTGAACAGAGAAAACATCCAGATTGAATTGTTTACTCTACCTTGGTATTTTGGTGATAGGTGATGATAGATAATTGGTGGTAGGTCAGTGCAACCTTCATCTCATAGTAAGTGATTTTGCTTTCTAAACTCTAGGATTGTTGTTGTTGCTGTTGTCTGTTTTTGTTGTTTATTGTTTGTGTATATATGTGGGTTTTTGTTTTGTTTTGTTTTGTTTTTTACAAACTCTAATTCCAGAGGTGTTTCCTGCTTGGTTTTTTGATCTTTTCATCTTAATGCATGCCATAAATTACTGGATCAAGGACGTGCTTAGCTACTGCCACTGGGAAAATCAAGGGTGTTGAGTGCCAGTATCATGGAGTCTCTTCTCATTGGGAATAATTAAGTGGTCGATAAAAAGACCCTGTATCAAAGCATCAGGTTTCTAGAGAATTCCATCCTTTCATTTCTTATTGCTTTGGGGTTTGGGATTTTCTCACCTGATCAGCTAGATGCATGGTACCCTTTCCTTTGTCCTGCTGGTGAAATTGAACCTCAGCACATTATATGAAAATTGTGCTATCAGACAAAGCACCAAATGACTGCATCTTTTTTTTTAACTTAGGAAAGCAATACACCGATTTTTGCCATACAAACTGGATTTCAATATATTTTTTCCCCATCAGTGTGCTAAACTAGCCTGAGGACTAATATGTTCCCTATTATTGAAATAGGACCTGAGCTGCCTTTACTTATCAGAGATTCTAAAAAAGATAAAAGAGTATTAGAGATCCTGTAGTCTGACTTTCTCTTCCTCTCGTTCCATATTTTACTGATAAGAAATTGGAAGTGCCAAAGAGATTATATGATTTACCCAAAATCCCAAATCTTCTCATTCTTAAGCTAGGGCTTTTTTTTTCTTTCATTTTTGATACAATAGGCTACCTCCTAAATCTTACAAATTAATATCAAAATATAAAGGGTTTTTTTGTTTCTTTCTTGGAAATATACACATATTTATATATATTTACATATAGATATAAGTATATCTATATCTCATAATGCACAAAATAAAGGAGAGAAAGGAAGCAAATGCTCCCAAAAAACTTGTTGGGTATGAGAAGCTCTGAAATATACATAATCACAGACTTTGACAGTTAGAAGGGACCTCATCACCTTTCAACTCAAACTTATTAACAAAAGGAATTGCCACTATCCCAAACTACCTACCTGATTGCTTAATTTTTTGGTAACTTCCTCAGTGGAGATGTCATCTTCATTTTCATATACTTATAAACATGTTCAAAAGAGGCAGTGTGGCAGAGTAAACAGAGAGTCAGGACAACCTGGGTTCAAGTCCTGTCCTTGACACATCCTAGCTGTATGGCATTGGCTAAGGCACTTCCCTTCTCAAGGGCCCCAGGTTGTAACTCTGCCTCTGTCTCTAATTGGCAGAGAAGGTGAGACTCTTCATTGCTAGAGGTCATTTGCCTTTTGGGAATTCCTTCTACCAGTTAAATCACAGGTCCAGAGCAACTATAACAAAAATAATCACTTTAAATTTTGTTTCCTTATCATGTCCTGACAAAAAGTTGGCACCTATTCTCCCAACCCATTTAAAATGAGCTCAGATCTCCAGATGAACAAAAGTCCAACCGAGGGCTCACTGCCATGCCCACATAGCACCAGCCTGCTGTGAACAAGTGAAAAATGCTAAAGATTTGATCAGGCCTTAATGAGCTTCCAAATAATGGGGCATTTGGTGTTTTTTGTGTCCATACAACTGAAATTTCATTGGTAGCAAATACATGTATATGGGAATTATTTTTAATCAAACAGAATTATAGATGTTAATTCCCCAAGATGTGTCCCTGTAACCCCCAACATGGGCATGATTCCAGGCTGGACTTTTGTTTATTCCTTTTGGTCAAACTATTGGATTCTTCCTAAGGTTGGCTTCTTGAAAGACTGAAATTCCTTAAATGATCAAATCTCTCAAATATTATAAAAATATTCTCAATTATGACACTGATTGAATGTGAAAACTTGTGCGATTTGGTAGTCAGTTGTAGTGTCTTCTAGATTAATCCCTTGGACCCAGGCAATTGTGGTGCCTGGGTTAATTTAGCGTTCCCAAAGAAGTGACCTGAGATCCAAAGGCCTCTCAGCACCAAAGCTCAGCTGCATCAAAAACTTTATATTCACCTGACAAATAAAGGAAGGAAGGAAGGAAGGAAGGAAGGAAAGGAAAGGAAAGGAAAGGAAAGGAAAGGAAAGGAAAGGAAAGGAAAGGAAAGGAAAGGAAAGGAAAGGAAGGAAAGGAAGGAAAGGAAAGGAAAGGAAGGAAAGGAAAAGGAAAGGAAAGGAAAGGAAAGGAAAGGAAAGGAAAGGAAAGGAAAGGAAAGGAAAGGAAAGGAAAGGAAAGGAAAGGAAAGGAAAGGAAAGGAAGGAAAGGAAAGGAAAGGAAAGGAAAGGAAGGAAAGGAAAGGAAAGGAAAGGAAAGGAGGAAAGGAAAGGAAAGGAAGGAAGGAAAGGAAAGGAAGGAAAGGAAAGGAAAGGAAGGAAAGGAAAGGAAAGGAAAGGAAAGGAAAGGAAAGGAAAGGAAAGGAGGAAAGGAAAGGAAAGGAAGAAAGGAAAGGAAGGAAAGGAAGGAAAGGAAAGGAAAGGAAGGAAAAGGAAGGAAAGGAAAGGAAGGAAAGAGGAAAGGAAAGGAGGAAAGGAAAAAGAAAGGAAAGGAAAGGAAAGGAAGGAAAGGAAAGGAAAAGGAAGGAGGAAAGGAAAGGAAAGGAAAGGAAAGGAAAGGAAAGGAGGAAGGAAAGGAGGAGGAGGAAAGGAAAGGAAGGAAAGGAAAGGAAAGGAAGGAAGGAAGGAAGGGGAGGGAGAGAGAGGGAGGAAAGGAGGAGGGAGAGAGAGAGGGAGGAAGGAAAGGAGAGGAGGGAGAGAGGGAGGTAGAGGGAGGGAGGGAGGGAGGGAAGGAAGGAAGGACAGAAGGAAGGAAAGGAGGAAGGAATAAAGGAAGAAAGGAACAAAGGAAAGGAGGGTGGAAGCCATTTTTCTTAAGAGTGAAGTACGGTGTGTTACTTAACTGCATCTCTGTTTCATAATGACCTACCATGCTTGTTCTTTCTTAGATATATAATTATTTATTAGGGTTTTTTTTGTTTTTTCTTAAATTATTTAGACTTTTTTGATTTGAAAGGAAATGTTAATGTCTTTTAATTAATTTAAAAGGTGAGGGGGAAACAGGGTATTATTAGATTGGCTAACATATGTAAATAGAGCCTAGTTCCTACTCATGTTACCACAGAAACTTTTTGTGACTGATTAAAGGAGGGAGAAAAACAAAGAAAAAAAACCCCTTTGCTTTGAACTGAAAATTAAGGATTCGTTTTATGAAGACCTTGCAGATTGTTTTGGTATGGCACAGTGTTTGTGCTCCCCCAGATAAATAAGTACATAGAAATCTCTCTCCTCTCTCTTACACACACACACACACACACACACACACACACACACACACACACACACACTACAAGGTACATAAAGTGATGTGATGCAGCAGAAATAAACTCAACTTTAGGATCAGAGAATCTGGGTTCAAATCTTGCCTATGTCATTTACTGCCTGTGTGATCTTAGTCAAGTCCCTTAACTCCTCTGAGTTTATTTTCACCATCTATAAAATGAAGGGCTTTTACTCAGTGGCCCTCAAAGTCTCTTCTAAAGTCTATGTTTTCTCTTCTATATGCTAGGGATGCAGTCAGGGTTCAGTTCATTAGCTGAAAGGTATTTATTGAGGAATATGAATTCTCTCATGGTTTCAGACATTCCTAATAGAACTGAATTTTTGTCCAAAGTGTCCAACTGGAGATTTCACTCTCTTATGAACCCATAAAAAGGGAAAACAAAGGAGCCAGGGTTTGAAAGAAAAAGGAAACCCAGGGGGGAAAGCTCTGGCTTAAAGTTAATTACTACAGGGCCCATGAAGCACTGCATCCAGAAAGGTTTGTCTCAAGGTTCTTACCACATGTCTGTATATCTTCAGTCGCAGCTGATTGAACCTAGAGGAAAGTTCATTTAGAGAGAAATTCTCAAGCATAGCCAGAAGTACTCTCCTAGGGAAGGCTTCTATCATTAGTTAGCATTCATTCCAAAGAAATATACATTTTTAGCTTTCCTTTAATCTCTTCCTCCCTTCCTCTTTCTCCTCCTCCTCCTCCTCCTCCTCCTCCTCCTCCTCCTCCTCCTCCTCCTCCTCCTTCTTCTTCTTCTTCTTTTCTTCTTCTTCTTCTTCTTCTTCTTCTTCTTCTTCTTCTTCTTCTTATCTCTCTCTCTCTCTCTCTCTCTCTCTCTCTCTCTCTCTCTCTCTCTCCTCCTCCTTCCTCCTTTTTCTCTTCCTCCTTTCTTGTAAAGAGAGATCAAAGCACATAGGATCACAAATATACATTTAAAAGGGTTCTCACAGGTCACCTAGTCTAATCCAATCCTCCACCCTAATTTGATAGATGAGGAAACTGAGTCTAGAATGACTTGCCTAAGGTCATACAGGTAATAGTAGGTAGCAAAGCCAGTATCTTCTCCCCACTGCACTACTCTACTTGGGAATTGTTGTTTATTGTACTTCATATTTGATCAAAGACTATTCCTCAATTGTACATTCTTGCCTAAGTTGACTCCAGGGTTTCTTTTCATGCAGTGCCATCTTGGGGGTCACTTCGTCCTTGAATACGTAATTATTTTCCTACCTACATATATGTAAGGGGTGTGGCTCAACTGAGCTCTTACATTAAAGCATTTTACAAACCTGCAAATGTCCCTAACATTTAGCAGAACTTTAAAGTTGGCAAAAATACAGATATTATGTCATGTGACCCTTACACCAAATGTGAGAGGAGTGCTATTTTTATATGAATGCCAATGACTGATTTCTCTTCGAGATGCTTGTGAAGTGATCATGCAGCCTGCCTTATGACTGCTTCAGAGGAACAGAATAATGCAGACAGCTCTCATGCACTTCCCAATGGAGCAGGAGATGACTCAATGCATCTATTCCATTGCCCAGCATCCCATGTAAATGTTCTGGATGGGAGGAATGGAGAGGTGAGAGTGCTTGACTCAAAGCCAAGAAAAGCTGGGTCTTAATTCTGGTCCAGATTCAGCTGGACATCTGCTTATTAGCACATCACATTGAGCATTTAATAAATGCTTATTGGCTGACCAAGTGACCCTGAGCAAGGCACTTAGCCTCTCAAACCATCTGTAAAATGGAGATAATACTAGCACTTTCCTCATAGATTTGTTGTGAGGATCAAATGAGAAAGATTTGAATGTGTTCCACCTAGAAAACACAGCTATTCAAGAGATTAGGGCAGTTAACAGGCCTCCAGGCCAGATGGGTTTTACCCAATGTTCCCCAAATTCTGCCCTTGACACTGAACTGCAATAGGATGCCACAAGTCTTTACATCTTGGCTGCTGTGAAAGAAGCCATTGTAGGTGGCTGCAGGAGAAGCTGCAATGAATTAGAGAGAGAACGGGACCAATAATAACCTGTTTTCTCCCCCAGAACATGGCCTCCTCTGGATCTACTGGCCTCCCAGCATTTCCTAGTTCAAGGTCAAGGTCAGGCCTCTTGAATTTTGTGGAGGCTGGGTAAAATCCTCCTTGTCTTCAAGGGTCACTGTCTCCTGAGAGCAGGGTCCAAAGCCAGGTGACAGTCAGCTGTTTGCAAAACTTAACAGTGCTGTAGAAAGGTAAGCTATTCCCCGATCTTATTTACAGGATGCACACACAGCAAGTTGTCTTTCAGAGAAAAAAAAGAGCTTGCCTAAGTTTGGTTGAAGATTTACTCTTCTGATGCCTTCATTTATGAGTACACTTTAGGACAGATTTTCTTGGACAGCCCATTATATCAGAAAGCCAATGTGTAACTGGAAATTGTGTCTTATCTACCTTCTTCACGTCATGTCAATTTCTGTTATCATTCATTTTGTTGACAAGTAGTCAGTATGGTACGATGCAATCTGTGCTCAGGGTGAGTACATTGGCCCTGCCTTCCCCTCAGTCTCTGTTTCTACCCTCCTCCTTTTTTCTCGCTCCCACATCAGTCCACATACAACTCTGGGTCATTATTCCCCATCCAACTTCACATATAGGTTATTTGAAATGCCT